AGGGTGGGGAGGACTGAGTCCCAACCCCCCCCCAGGGTCTCTCATTTACTCTGTAGGGACAGCTCTGCGCTGGTGCTGCAGGAGCCCAGGGTGAGAGCTGGGGTCTCCTCTCTGGGTTCAGGCAGGGGCTCATTCACTGCAGGGAGTCAGGGTGTCCACAAGGCACTAAGTGCTGTCCAGGGCATTTATTAACCACCCAGGAGAATGGGGCCAAGTGACATATAGGGATTTGCCAATGATTCTGTTTTTTGGGAGGGGGTATTGTGGTGAGGCTCCAGGGAAAGAGGATTACTGGGTAGTGCGATGGCAGGGGCTATTTGGTGCAGATGACCATGAGGGGTGGCCTCTGGGGAGAGACACGGAAAAGAGAGAGATAGCAATAGCCAGAAGGGATGGGAAGAGAGAGGCGTGTTGCCCTGGGGACACTAGAGGGAGCCACTTCCCCATCCAGCCACGGTCTCAGGCCAGCAGTTGAGAAAGGACATAGGCAGGGAGAGCAGAGGGGATCCTGGGCTGGGGTGACTGCAGAGAGTTTGGGCCAGAAATGCTGTTATTGATGATTTTTATCTCTACACATTTCAATCAATGTCTCTATTTTTATTTTATTTAATCCTCTTATTTCCTCTTTAACCGTAGAAAATCTTCCTTCTGGGACTACGGTTTAGCTGCATCCCTTGGGGACTGTTCCAGCAACTCAAGAGAGACTTTCTATTAACTAGGGTAAATATGGCCAACCCAACATTCCATAACAGATAAAAAGTATCTTTTCCCCAATTTTTATCCCATTTTCACATCCCATTCCCTTAACTTGCTATCAGTCTCTGACACACTCTAAGATAGTAAGTGGTTGAATGTGGGGTCTGGGGAAGGTCTATCATGATCCTAGATGCATAGGCTCTGACTCCATGGGAGTTGAGGCGGGAACTTTGGGGAAGGGGGTGAATGGGGGCAGGGCAGGGGTGGGAAGAGGCATGGGTGGGGCCTCATGGAAGGGGTGGAATGGGGGCAGGGCTGGGGGCAGAGGGGGTCTAGCACCCACCGGGCAGAGGGAAAGTCGGCGCCTATGCTGAGATGTATAAACAAAGAAGTATCAAGGAGGATTAGGAAGATATTACTTCTGTATATGCCAATGGTGAGATCATTACTGGGATATTGTGTCCATAGTTTAAAAAAAGTGTGTTGGGAAATTGGAGAGGTTTCAGGGAAGAGCTGCAAGAATGATTCAAGGTTTGAAAAAACCTGCTTTATACTGAGAGACTTGGAGCTCAATGCATTTACTTAACAAAGAGAAGGTTGATCATAGTCTATAACTACTAAGGAAGAAAATAACAGATAGGAGAGGCCTCTTGAGTCTAGCAAACAAATGTAGAACAAGATCCAATGTCTGGAAATTGAAGTTAAATTTATTTTTAATTGAAAATAAAATTCAGATTT